GGAAATTTATAACACCATTGAAAAGTATAATTCCCTCACTTTTACAATTATTCCTATAATTCCTCACAACACCAATCTGTATCGATAACACCCAAGCCGCGAGTGAATATCATTAATCTGCACCAACTGAAGGAAATTTATAACACCATTGAAAAGGATAATTTTCCCCTCACTTTTACAATTATTCCTATAATTCCTCAAAACACCAATCTGTATCGATAACACACAAGCCGCGAGTGAATATCATTAATCTGCACCAACTGGAGGAAATTTATAACACCATTGAAAAGGATAATTTTCCCCTCACTTTTACAATAAGTAAAAGAAAGCTAGTGTAATTAATTGCTTGCTGTAGCATCCATCATAAATCAAGTTTCATCTTCCTAGATGCTCTATCTACAGCATATTTAATTACTATCAAACTTAGATATTTGGTTGCGTTTAATGTATTTGCTTGTCACTCGAACACTAAATAAATAGCATTAGTTTGACTCATTAATTTATACTTGACTACTCTACGCTCCGTATGTCGTCGTTACAAGACCCGATACACGGAGACAATGTTTTAATTACCCCCTCTAAGAACGCTTTCAAGAAAAGCTAATTAATTGTAATGTTAAGCAGCTAGTCCCAAGAATAGGTGTTCAACAGGATTTTTTAGTGAACAAGAAGATCCACCTTCTTTTTTAGCTTGTCAAAAGAATATCAAGGAAGTCGTATCGAAAAAAAAATTTAATAATTAAGAATCATGAAAATTTTTAAAGGTTTTTACATATATTCTTACAGAGGGTTGAGTACGTTATATTAAGATGATTTTAAATATGCAAGTCAACCAGTCACGTGATACTCACAACCAATATAAATATATCTCTTGTACTTAAGGGTATTAGAAAAGAAGTGAATACGGATCAACTTTGTAAACCAGAACCATCTACAAAGAGATCTATAATAAGTTGTACCACAGAACCCGTGGTGGGCAGAGCACAGATAGCCCATTGTGTAGCTTTGTGCTTAACTTCGAACAAACAAAGAGTGTACCCCTACTGTGGTGAGTAAAATTATGCATCTTTTAATACGTAAGAATCTACAAACACAAGGATCGGCGTAAAAAAAACAAAAAAAAACAGTTACGTGCCCTAGGCACACATGATTCAGAAGGATCTCCGTCTTGAAAAGTGACATAATTCATGTGTACACGACATATCTTTTCAATTTCACATACCACAAGCAGCTGAAGAATGAAACAGGTTTTCATGCGATTTTATTCGAAGATACAAGTCTGCAGGCTTAGCGCCTATGTATTTCTGTGTGATTGAAACGGCCAGGAAAGGAGCATGGAGTAGCTGTATGGTTTTGATATGATAGCCTTACGTCGGAACTTTTAGTAATGGAACTACGCTGCACATCTATAGTCAAGGAACACAGCTATCAGACAGATCATGACCGGAAGTGTCGAAATGAATTATAATCACGCGCTGCATAAAACCCCAAGTCGCTTCAACATAGTGTACTCAACATTTGTATAATTCATTAAAGGTTCAGTAAAGCTCTGAAGTTATTGTGTGCAACAGCATATTTGTAGGGAACAGAAAAATGCTGCGTTGCATTACTTTATGCATGAAATATATATAGGGTTCTTGCTTAGGAAAAAATATTCATTACAGTCTCATTCATGTGACGAGGTACTTTTACAGACATTGCATCACAATATTATGAATAAAATATGTGTATATATATATCTCATGTGTATCGGTATTATCAAAACTCCCTAATTAGGGTCAGAATCATTACACATTGATAAACCAGCGCCAATATAAATTGATTATTATTTAGGGCACCGAATACATTTTCAACAACTCATTCAATGTTTAGATAAACTTCGAGTCCATATCAAACAGTAGTTTTGAAACCAAAATAATAGAGAAAAACAAGAAACAAAATTACAATGTGTATCGGTATTATCAAAACTCCCTAATTAGGGTCAGAATCATTACACATTGATAAACCAGCGCCAATATAAATTGATTATTATTTAGGATACCGAATACATTTTCAACAAGTCATTGAATGTTTAGATAAACTTCGAGACCATATCAAAGAAAACAGTAGTTCT